ATTTTACACTTTTACAGGAACTAAAAAAAACACTTTAAAAATCGAATATCTGATGGATTTTCATGAAAATTATATGTGTAGTTATAAAAAAATTATTTCGAAAATACAATTACGGGATAAAAATAATATTTTTAATATTGTGTAACTTATGTCGCTTACAATAAAATAAATGTTCGAATATAGCTCAATGGTGCTTACACTTTTCACTTTCGGCGCTTACAAATAAAATGTTGTGTTGATTAATGCATGGCGCTTACACTAGTCTTTTAACGCACTTTGTTGAAATGTTATAATATTATTTTAGTTTCAAAGTTATTAAATAAGTTATTGTATAACTCAATTAATTATAAGTAAATTTTTATTTTTCATATTCTTTATCTATCATATCCCCCCCCCCCCTCCCTTCGTAAATATTAATATTATGGCTATGATGGTTGTTTGTCTATTAACCATATTATTTGTATATACATTTTATTATCTGTTACTTTTTGGTATTAATTACCCTCAACTAAGACAGACATGCATAAGCATAGCTTGGTATGTATTCATATTAATATTATGGTCCTCACTATTTTCTCAAAAATTACTGAGAAATTCAAAAAATATGTTTTCTATTAAACTTTACTCTAATATTTACCTGTAATATAAAATATGACATAGAATTTAAACATAATTAGGTATAATGTAAGAAATATAACAGGCTTCCAAGTCTTTTTGGTTTTATTTTTAAAGTAAGTAAAATTAAAATACTAAAATAACAATATTATCACAATTAAAGTCTTTTTAGTTCATAATATTATTAATAGGAAATTAAATCTAATTAATACTTAGTTATAATAATATATATACCAGTATTTTGGTTATATTATGTTAAAATGTGTAGTGAATTATATAAATCATCTGTAGGTATCTTATTAACACATTTAACTTATAAATATTACAGTTATATTAATAAAACAAAAAATAACAATATCACAATTCAAATGAGTAAACAGACATAAAATGAACATTTTACAGACATAAAATAAAAAGTACTTATTAGATTAGAGGATTAAAATATAAAATATAATACTTAATACTTAGTTTTAATAAATTAATTGCAATAAAACTGTAAAACTGTAAAACTGTAAAACTGTAAAACTGTAACATAAATCTATCATATTTTTTAATATTATTTTCTTATTTCAAAGTCAATCTTTTTCTTCTAAAACATCATCTTCCTCGTCAGTTTCTGTTAACATACCCAAAATATTTTTGTCATGGCTTAAATTTTTGTACTCATCATGGAACCTTGTTGGTATAATTTCTTGTTTACAAAGTTTTATTAAATCAAAATACTTTTGTGATGTTATTTTTCTTGGGCATGAATAGAGTTGTTGTGGTTCCACTAAAACTTCAGTATTTGCCTTTTTTGATTTTCTTATTCTAGGAGAATGTTGAATCATAATATTTTCAAATTGTTCATCAAAAAACACCTGTATTCCTTCTCCTTTAGTGATCTGAACACTTTTCATTTTTGTGATTTTAACAACTTTTTTATTATCAGTCATTAAGGTCTTTCCCATAACTGAACTAGTAAATGTCTTCCAGTCAAAGAAATCATTGAACTTCATCACTTTTACTTCAAGTGGACCAGGATTTTTTCTTGAATTAGCTATCAGAGTAGGCCACTCTGATGGTGCCCAAACAGTTCTGTTTTTTAAAAAATTATCAATAGTAGAATGAATCGCGTCAACAGGCATATAGGTATGCCCTGGTACCAAATAAGTGATTTTGACTGAAGTCACATATTTTGCTTTATTAATAAATTTGTTCAGCATTCCAATCATGACATGGTTCTTATTTTGACCGCAGCAGGAATCACAATAGAGTGCAATAGTTTTAATGGATTTTATTTTGTCTATATCCATTAAGTAATCATGCATACAAGTGGCTATTTCATTGCAACCTCTGTTAGCATCTCCTTCTCCCCAAAGATAACATACTACTCTTTTTGTAACAGATTCATACACTCAGTGGCGTATTTTCAATTTTTTTATGGGGGGGGGGAGGTCTAAATATTAAGTATAAGCTTATAATATTATAAAAAAAATACATACGAGTTATGATTTAATAATGATATTATTTATATATTTCATTATTATTATGAATACAAATGTGAAATGTCAATTAATAGTTTTAATAGTTTTTATAATAAAAAAGGTAGACGTCTTTTTTTTTTCGCCAGCTCTTCAATAACTTCTTCTGGTTTTATTGAATAGTTTTTATTTATTGATAGCATAGCTAAACCGTTCAATCTTCCCTATAAACAAAAAAATAAATAAAATATTTTATTAATTGTAAATTACAAGAATAATTTTTTAAGTTTATAATAATTTACCTCTGACATAGAATTCCTTAGATATGTTTTTAATCTTTTTAAGTTTGAAAATGTTCTTTCATTTGTTGCAGAGGAAACAGGAAGCGTGACTAAGATTTGAAGAAGTTTAAATATATTTGGATAAATTGACTGGTTACACATAGCCATAGCCTCTAGAGCATTATTTGGTTTCTCTGTTGTTTGCATGAGTTTTCTCTGCCATAATTTGTACTCTGCTTCAATAATTTCATTTTGAGTTCCATCATTCTGTAAATCTGCATTGTATTTATTTGAAAGAATTATAATATCTTCAATGGGACCATTTTCCCTAAATAGAGAATCGAAACCTGATAAAATCGATCGATGAACATTGAACCTTTCTTCTAACTCTGTAATAAATTTGTCAAGATAAGGAATTAAAATTGATGCTCGATAATATTGTTCCGGAGTATTTAATGGTATATTGCTTCTATTAGTTTGTTTTTTTGATAATCTCGGAATTTTAATTTCAATATCGAATTTTTCGGCTACTACTTTTACTTCTTCAAATATTTTTTTAAAAACATCATCGACGTGTGTTCTAAGTTCTTGTAATTCTTTTTTTGTATCATTTGCTAATTGTACAGCCAATTTAAGATCGATATTTGATTTTTGTAGGAACTTTGAAAGTGGTAAACCTATACTAAAACCTTTGTTCAATACGAATAATGATATCAAAAACTCTATATCTAAAATAGAACTTCTAAGACGTCTTGCTTTATTCGAAGTATCGTTATCGTCCCATTCTGAAATTGTATCCAATGCTTCAATGACATACTCATAAAGTTCTATAAAATCGTTTATTGCGTGAAATCGTTCTATCCATCTAGTTTCGCAACTTCTTTTCAATGATTTTTTTGTGGATGTTTCTGATGAATTTTCAATATGAAATCGAAGAATTGATTTTCTTTTTGGAAAAATAAAGAAGTCGCGAACTTTTCCTAAAGTTGCTAAACAATCTCTTATTTGTGTCACGCTACATGATTTAGATACTACTAGGTTTAACACATGTGCTGAGCAGTGTACATAAATTGATAAGGGATGTGTGTCTTTAATATGAGCTTGAACGCCATTAAATTTACCCGACATGGAGGCCGCCCCATCATACCCCTGACCACGTAAATATGTCGTATCTATGCCAAAATGTTGCAGATTGTCAATTATTAATTTTGCTAATCCCTTTCCTGTCATGTCAACAGCAGGAACGAATTGTAAAAAATCTTCATGAAGTTTAAGGGTGTTTAATTCTACATATCTGACACACAAAGATACCTGTTCTATACCCGACACATCGGCCGTTTCGTCAGCGAGAACAGAAAAACACTTTGCTTCGTTTACTCTTGAAACTATTTTGTTTAATAATACTTTGTTACAGGAATCGATTATTTCGTTTTGACTAGTAGAACTTGTGTACTTAATGGTACCAGAACTTTCAAGATATGATCTCATATCACTATCACCTTGGGCCCTATAGCGAAGAATTGCCCTAAAATTACCGTCATTATTTTGTTTGTCATCTGAGAATGTTTTTAAAATGTTTCCAGAGTCACGATGCCCTCTTAATGCCATGTTTTGCCGACCACACAAAATAATTGCCTCAACAACAGGAATGATATTTTTACGATTTTCAATTATTTCTTTTTTCCTTCCAATATCAATTTGTTTGTCTACTGATAAAGTGGGATTTTTAATAATATTTAAAAAATTTTCTGAATCTAATATACATTTTTTATGGTACTCTAGTTGCGAGTGATTTTTGAAATATTCTAATGAATGTTTCCAGTTGTCATACTTTTTTGTAACTAATGATCCTAATGTTTGGTTATTAATTCCAGCAAAATTAGTTGAAAAAGCTACACAAAATTTACAATACGCTCCATTGTCTATATCAGAGTACACTAACCAAGGAAAGCTAGCAAACCATTTATATTGAAATTTCAAGCGCTTAGTAGTTTTATCTTTTCCAACAATAAATATTTTCACAGGAAAATTATAATTTACATCGGGAATCCAAATTGAATTTAATATATCGTGTATTTCATTTTGAGTCAATACTCTTTTGACGTAATTGAAAATATCGTGTCTATTTATATGGGACACAGACGATGTAGGGCTATTAGTATCTGATATTAAAACTACTGAATCTGTTTTATTTTGTATATTATCAAGTTTTTCTTGTGTAGGTAAAACATTCGTAGTAGATTTGAAAAAAGACTGAATATTGGGTTGCTTTTTAGAAGTCATAATTGTGATCTGTTTAAAATAATATTATATAAAAATAAAATACATTAATATCAGCATTAGTATTATGTATACCTAGTGTATACAAACATTGTAAATTTGTAAGTATAAAAATTTGTGTAGTGCGTCAAATAAAAATCAGATCATTTTAATATTTTCATTTTTCACTTTATATTAAACAATAATATTTGTAAATTAAATCAATTAGAAATTAGTAATTAGCAGTTACCTTATTTTCTTGTTAAGTGTTCGTCGTTCGTGTATTCGTATGGTGATTACAATATTATGTCGATGCCGTCAATAACAAATTGCAAATGCCGAACAATCGC